GCACTTATGACGTCGGGTTTGAAAATTTTTAATAGTTGTTCACGGTTGTACGTAGAATTTATATCATTACGCTTTATGTTTTGTCATACTTCGTGACTTAGTAGTAATGAAAGTATTTTACCATGGTTTCTTAACTTAATTCCGCTTGATTACTGAAATTCTTAATTTTAAAAGTGTTATGAATGGATGATTGTGTTGTTGGTTTACCGTTGGCTTGCCTAACAGCAGCTATGGGCGTCATCACCGCCTATGATGGAAATTGGGTTGCGACAGCTTTATGCATGTCCTATAAGCAAAGTGGTTAATCAATCTTTAAATTTCTTGATTTATACGGTAGAAGATATATCATTATGGTAGAAAATTTACAAAGGATGGACAAAAGATCTATGAGAGGTGCCATTTGGTTTACATATAAGAGTAAATTCTCATGGTTTCTCATTTTTTGGAGGAAAGTGCTACCATTTATGCTGCAAACGATGTACAGAAAGACATAGCTTCCTTTAATGTTCTTTTGGGAGAGGTGAGAGGGGAGGCGAGGTTCTACAAAGAAGTAGGTGTCTATGAGGAACCACTATGCGTACCTGGATATTTGTGAATTTGTCGGTACCTCCTGGTATTGTATGTTATGTGCAATTGCTGTCACTTTACCCTTTTAAAGGAGTTATATAAAGATTTTTGACTTACAATTGATAGCTTTTGCATTACATATAAAGATGGTATATTACTCTCATTTACAATGTTAAAATACCTTAAAATATATGTGATCTGCCTGCAAATAACACAAATATTAATGTCGAGAATGCACATGTGGCTCGTGCTCTTATCTAGTTTCTTTTAGAAATGGTAGCCGCTTTGACCGCTTCTATTTAAAGCATATTTTATTTTCAAAAATTTATTTGAAATTTAATCAGTTATTGTCAAATTTTACTACTCATATCGTTACTTGTTTCTTTTTCCATATCCGAAGATATGAAGCTTTAATCAAGTCATAATCTGACTTTCTATCTAAAAGTTTGAAACTTAAACCCTTATATTTAAAGGTTTGAAACTTAGGGTGTGTTTTGTATGAAAAAAATCTTTTTCACAGAAAATATTCTCGTGCAAAATATTTTCTTAAAAAATAATTAATTTTCTTATTTATTTTTTGGTATTTGGTTATTTCGCCGAAAATATTTCTTAAAAATAAATAATTTAGACAATACTATAAGAGGCAAATTTGGTGGAGGGGGAAGAGCGAAGAAGTGGAGGCCACGGGAAGGAGTGGTTGTTGGGCAGGGCAGGAGCTTTGTGGAGGGGAAGGTTGCCGGGGCAAGGTGTTGGAGGGTGTCATGGTGGGGGTGGTTCGGGGGTGATTGGGGTACAAGGTGATAAGCCGGGGCCCCAAGCAGAGATGGTAAGGGTGTGGATAAAGAGGCTGGTTGGAGAGGGAGAGGTTTGCTGAGATGAGGGGAGGTGGGGGTTAGATGATGTCAGGGGTGTTGGGGTGAGGTCGAGGTGCAAGGTGGTAGGTGTTAGACCCCTGACAAAGCTGATCGGCAAGCGGCACGGCAGTGGCGAGGATTTGGCATGATGNTCCAGCCTTGGGCGTGCAGCAGCTGGCCAAGAAACGCGCACATGCAGCGCACATGGAGTGGTTTTCAAGTGTGNGGGTAAGGCTGAGGTCAAGTGGGGACTTGACTGCCGCACATCGGGCAGCATTTTCGGCGGACAGAAAACGCCCCTGTGACAATTGGTATCAGAGCCAGGTTAGGTTAAGTTTGGTTTGGTTTGGTTCGTGACGAGGTCGAGATGGCCATGGACAAGACTACAAGGCAGTGTGTCAGTGTGCTTGTTCATGGAAGGGACTGTCTTGGCTTAGAAATTCAGAAAAGGCAAGGAAGGCAGTGATGCAGAAATTTCAAGTTTGTGGGTGCCAAAAATCAGTGTGGGTTCTTTCAAATCAGTCAGTTGGCGTGCTGGTTTTGCTGTGGGAACGACGGACAAGAAATGCAATGAGAAAACAAAAATGTTGCACTTGAGGGCAAGGACAACGTAATTCTCAAAAGGGTGTTGAACTTGTGATGTCTTTGCAAATGGCAGCATGTGTTGGGATCTATTCGACGAGGGCGTTGAATTCAACTGGTTGGGGTGGTTTGTTAGACCCCTGACAAAGCTGATCGGCAAGCGGCACGGCAGTGGCGAGGATTTGGCATGATGGCATTGCCATTGGCCTATGTGCGAGGGAAAAATCAACATGCAAGACAATGCGGGGGTGTTATCGATGGCAACAAACTGTTGCTAAGGCAAGTGGGACGGACTACACTTGTATTTGAGGGCTAAGGTGTGACGGACTATACCAAAGCAAGAGTGGGTTGCGTACAAGCAAGGCCAAGACCTTGACGGAACTAGGCGGGCTGGATGGGAGCTTGACAAGGCTAAACGGGAAAGACCTCGGCGCTAAAGTGAGGCAGCTTAGTGCCAAGGCAG